AATTCTCTCAAATATTGGAGATAGACCCAAAGGGTCATTGCTTTGCACTAATAAGCAACGAATATTTTGCAACATACCTTCTACACATCTACCATCCAGAAGATTAAATAACGATGTTTCCAAAAACAAGAGTAAGAAAAATAAGGTCAAATATTCCACGGATGCTTCTTCTAATTCAGATACTTCAGACAACGTTTTAAGTAATTCTTCCACATCTAGTTCAGAAATAAAAGTTACACATGCGCATAAGACTAGAGCAGTAAAGAAATGCCCTATTCGAAAGCGTAAAATAAAAGGTAAAGTTAAATATCGAGCTTTATAGGGCCTTGCCCATACTTCGCATAATGGAGCTAGTATTTCTGATACAAATCTCATCATATTATAGGGCAAAGCCCATGACTCTCTGAGTCGCCCCTATAGGCCTCAGGGGAGTAATGTTATGTATAAATCCAATATAAGCAAATCTTAATCTGGGTCACGATCCCATTAAGTCACATGCACTGCTGATGCCATACGTGTCTTGGATGAATTAATCGATCGCTATAAAATAATACCTGAACTTATCATGTTTTTGCTCAAACTTTCTAGCATATTCTTAGTAGCATATACATAGTACTTGGTCTATATATCGAAGTTTCTGTAATATAAGAAATGATATGTTAGTCTTGCTACTTTTACTAATAAAATAGGATAAATTTGTCAATGATCGATTATACATGACTTTACTGCTAAATATACTTAGAGTGGTAAAATTATATCTGATACTTAACCAAAAATTGAGTAGCATTACGAAAGTCAAATTCTAAATAAGATCGTGTATCGCCCTAATGTTATTTCAGAAGTCAGTTATTAATTGTATGAAAATCCACATATATGTGTATATTGGTAGGATCTTAATGTGATGGTTAGTGTTGTAATTGTAAATATTCATCAGATATACTAACTTTAGCGTAAGCAATTCTTCAGCTAATAAATATCACTTATCTTACTCAACATTACCCGGACCGTGTATTTTTAAGTTTCTAGATCCAGGTCCCCATTCTCAAAATCAGAATTTACGCCCATGTTTTTGATGATAAATCAATAATAACGCGATAATAACGTAATTAACATTTTTTTTCCAGTATGTTCTGGCCTTTACTGACAGAGACAACGAATCAGATTCTAAGACGTGAAATCTTAATCTTGTATAAAAAGGATTCAAAAATCTTTAGTATACCCCTCTACCATTTTCTTTGTAATAATATCTCTAAAGGGAGCACAGCTAATAAAACAATAAGTCATTCTAGCCACTTTGTAATTGCCTTTAGTAATAAATCGCAATAACCAATAAAAAATTAGGTATTTGCCAGCCTCTGGCTAATTCTCCCAAAACAAAACAACGTACCTGTAATTTTTTTCAAAAATAAGATGTCAGTATCACAATAGTCTAATTAATTTGTTTGTACGTTACCCCACACTCATATATCTATACTAATAATCTTTTTTTCCCGTTATAGATATCTTCGATCAATGTTTCAGAAATTGCACCATTTTTGGCCTTTGTGTTAATAATGATGTTCGCTAAAAAAATTCCTGTCTATCTGATTTTCGTTGCCATGTGCTCTGTTATATATGTCGTCAGACAGCAACTTACTGCAGAACTCAACGCACGTATGGAAAGATTAATCGCGAATCTTACATCACGAGATGCCACAATTGTGGTCAAGGGACAGAGAATCCTAACAATGGTAAATACTGTGATTGAAACTATTAATGAAATCACCACCAATTATAAATCTCTTTGTGACCAGTTGGACCAAATAACTGAGACAGGTTCTGTGGCACCATTAATATCTAAACAATTTGCTGGCCTATCCGTATCTACGTCCAATTTTTCTCAAAGATCTTCTGGTTCTTCTCTGGGTTCTTCTAGTGGCTCAAGTCAATTAT